TTTTTTTTTTTTTTTTTAACTTACTTGAAAGAGAGAGAGAGCGTGCGCACACATGCATGAGCAGGGGAAGGAGCAGGGAGGGAGGGAGAGGGAAGGGGAAAGAATCTCAAGCAGACTCCCCACTGAGCTGGAGCCCAATTCGGGGCTCAATCTCATGACCCTGAGATCATGATCTGAGCTGAAACCAAGAGTTGGACACTTAACCGACTGAGCTACCCAGGCGCCCCAAGAGAAAAGTTTTGTACAACTTTAATACCTTATCAGTGACCCTACGCATAGAAAAAGGCAGCTAAAAAAAAATGCAGAATTGTTGAATCACTATATTGTACACCTGAAACTAATATAACATTGTATGTTAACTATACTGGAATTAAACTAAAAATAAAAGAAAGAAAAGAAAAAGGGAGATGAATCAAGAAAAAAGTTTATTTCTTACTAACTGCCTACTGGCAACAACGGTAATACAGACATGATTTTTCAAAAGGAATTAATACATCCAGTAATATCTAACTAAACCTGTCTACCAGCCTGTAGACCCCACCAACTATTGGAATTCCATCTTTTTTTTTAATTTAGGTATAACTGACATACAGTATCTTACTAGTTTCAGGTTTACATCATAATGATTCGATATTTTTATATATTTCAAAATGATCTCCACAATAAGTCTGGTTATCATGTTACCATACAAAGTTATTATATTATTGACTATATTCCCTATGCTGTAGGTTATATCCCCATGACTTACAGTGTACCTAGACGTTTGTACCTCTTAATCCCCTTCACCTATTTCACTCGCCTCCCAACTCCTCCCTGCTCTGGTAACCAACAGTTTGTTTCCTGTATCTATGAGTCTGTTTCTGTTTTGTTTTGTTTTTTAGGTTCCACATATAAGTGAAACCATAAGGTATTTGTCTTTCTCTGTCTTGGCTTATTTCATTTAACATAACACCCTCTAGGTCCATCCATGTTGTCCCAAATGGTAAGACTTCATTCTTTTTCATGGCTGAGTAATTTTCCATGGTATATATATACACCACATCTTCTTTATCCAGTCATCTATCAACAGAAGTCCATCCTTTAAATGAGAAGATACCAACTTTTTCCCAAACTCTTCCCAAAATGATCTCTGCTTCTTAACAAGGTTTTCCTTTATTAGTATGATTGGGGTACAAGCAGCTTAACAGGATTAAGAAGAGACAAAGAGGGAGAGGATTAGCACAGTGACAGCCAGGAAATCAGGAGGCCCCTGTATCCTATCAAGAACCATGACAGTGAATCATATCCACTCTTAATTTTTTTCACACAGATCCTCTGAAAGTCTGATGATAACTGGAAACCTCTCCCCAAAACAATGCATATATGTATATACACATTTTCCCATGTAACTTTGGGAGTGGAAGAAAGGTTCCTATAGATCAGTAAGTGAACTACCACACAGGAACCCTAAACTTTTGAGAAAAGAAACTAAACAAAAAAGGTTTATGTATCAGAGCCTGCTGAAGGTTTTATGACCTTGAGGTGAGAGGACTGACTTTCTGTCACTTCATTATCGCAAATAATAATAGCCTGATACTCTCTGGTCAGAAAGAGGGGAGAGATAACAGTGAGAGGTAAGGAAATAAACTTACTTAGGAAAAGGAGTAAACAAAGAAAATGTGAATAAAGGAGAAGGCTTGTTTAGAGATTCTAGGAAATTCAAGGAAAATGAAAGTAGTTTAGAAAAATGAAAATGAGGGGCACCTGGGTGGCTCAGTCAGTTAAGCGTCTGCCTTCAGCTCAGGGCATGATCCCAGAGTCCTGGTATGGAGTGGGAATGGGGCTCCCTGCTCAGCAGGAAGTCTGCTTCTTCCTCTCCCTCTGCCCCTCCCCCTGCTCCTTCTCTCTCTCTCTCTCTCTCAAATAAATAAATAAAATCTTAAAAAAAAGAAAAAAATGAAAGCATTAAAGACTGGTGGGCTGGAAACTTTCCATTTTCTGAGGGACTTCACACAATTTACACAGTTCTTAAAATTTACTCACCAATATTGGCAGGAAAGGGTACTTCATGTACAGCTGGGTCCAGATTAATCACATAAGGTGGAGAGCCTTGGCTATGTAGATGTCCAGTAAGCCTCTGCAGAGATATGAGAAGAGGGATGGAGTAAGACAAAGAGGGAATAAGGCGCCAAGATTCCTGTATCGATCATACCTGAAGACTCCTACACTTCCATTTCCCTCGACCTGAAATATTCGTCCCCGATATCCACCTCCAACATTCAACTCTCATAAATGCTATCTCTTCTTTATCACCCGTCTAAGAAGAGTCTCCCCTACTCTCGATCACTTATTTACCTGATTTGTGTGAGGTTTTTTTTCTATCACTCCCATTAAAATATTAGCTCCCCAAAGCGGGAACCTCGTCAAATTCAATCTCTGTATCTCCAGTGCTTGAAACATAAGAGCTGCGCAAGAAAAAATTCTTTAGTAATCTACACCAAAAGCCTGTATGCTAGCACTGTATTAACTGCCAGTTGCATGTAAGCCTCTGCCTTCGAGGAGTCGGCAATTTTACCGGTTAAGACAATTCCAGAACAACGTGGTAAGTTGTACCAAATATGAACTGAGGGTGCGAAGAAGACCGCCCTAAGTAAACCTGGCTAGAGTCCAAAAAGGCTAGCCTAAGAAGGAACCGGTGTTGCTGGGAAGTACCTTAAAGCCACACGCGGGTCCCCTCCAACTCTCCTGAGAGACCTCCCTCCCGTTCTCCCTGGCCTTCCGCCCACCACTGACAACCTCTCGCGTGCACCTACTACGCCCGCGCCGTGTACGTCACCTGTACAAAGGTGGTTTTCCCAGATCCCGCCATTCCCAACACTAACAGACAAACTGAAGGCCGAGGACCCCCCGAAGCCTGCAACGCAGCTGCCTCTGCGGGCGCCGCCGCCTCTGCGGGCGCCGCCATCTTTCTCCTGGCTCCGCCCCCTCTACCATAGAGACGCCGCGTGCCTAGAGAGGCTGAAGTGACGCTCGGGGCCGCGAGAGAGGCTAGAACCCAACTAGCGCTAAAGGGGAAGACGAAGGGGCGGGCCGGGCGCTAGAGCATCCTAGCCTCCCAACCAACTAGCGACAGTGGCAGGGAAATGGAGGGCTAGAGAAGGCCAGGAAAAGGGACACTCACCGTCGTAGGGGAGGGCCTGGGAGGGGCAAAGCTCTGGTCCCCAGAAGGGCGAGACGAGATGGGGTCCCCAAGACAGGACCCCCACGGGTCGAAAATGAGGAGAGTGCGTTTCTCTTTCGGCCCCCAAGGAGCGGGAGAACCGGCTGCTGGGGCTTACTCGGCAGCCGACGAGGTTCAGCAGCTCAGGGCTGGACCGGCCGGGACTGGGGCGGAGTGCGACCCCGAGGGTTGCTGGGCAGCGTCGAGACCCGGGGAGCACGGAACGGAGAAATTGCGAAAACTTTCCGCAAGGGGACGCCATTTCCAAGTGTCGCAGGCTCCCGACAACAGCGCTCCCTCCTTGGCAGTCACCGTCAGTGAACCACGCCGTGACCTTGGAGATGAACGCTTGGATTCCTGGAGCAAGTAGGTACTGAAGGGGCGCTTCCCTCCACGGAAGTGTCCTCGGATACCGGAAAGGTGGTGGAAAAGCCGGGAAATGTATTGCTACTCTCGACCACCCCGGCTGTTCCTGTGGTCTTTTGTAGCTACTGCAGTGTTCAGTAAATCCTAAAATCTAGGTTTCACACCCACACTCTACCACTTGCTGGCGGTGTAAATCGTGGCCAAGTCATTTAAATTCTCCGAACCTGTTTTCTCCTCTTTAAAATGGAGGTAATACCTCACAGGGTTGTAGTGAATGCGTACTGTAAATTGTAAACTACACTCATTCATCTTTACCCCTAGCTGTATTCCCTGGTGCCATGCATAGTGGCAGAACCGTAATAGGTACTCAAAAATATTTTCTCGTATGAATTAAAGTACAATTGTGCATTTTGTATTTACTAAATTTTCATTAAGAATTTATGCGGGAATGTCTCACTTGTTCTTCCTTCAGGTTTGCTAAGGACTCTAGGAGTTCCCCTCCACCATATCTCAGTTTAATAAATAATTTTTTCAAGCCAGAGAAACTAAGAAACTCAGAGACGAGGTTTAAAGAAAAGACAGTGGTGGAAATGATGAAGCTGAACAACCAAATAAAACAAACTCAAATCCAGCAAGAATTACTAATGGAGGAGACCAGGCAGCTGTACGCTGAAAAGTTACTTGTCCAGACTGAAAACAAATTCTTTCTGGAATACCTAACCAAGAAAACTGAGGAGTATGGAGGGCAGCCTGAAAAGCTGTGCAACAACTACTTACAAAAAACTGAGGAGATTGAACGAAGGAGGCAAGAATCAGCCTCCAAATATGCGAAACAAACTTCAGTGTTTAAAAGGGAGCTCTTGCAGAAGGAAAAGATCCAGTTCAATTTAAAGCAGCAGTTGCAGGCACTGAGGAATGTTTCACTATTAAAGGAGAAACAGGAGAGAGAAATACAGATATTACAGGAGGAGAAGAAGAAAACCCAAGCTGAGACAGATGCAAAGAAACAGGAAGTCCAGGTCCAGTTACTCCAGGAAAAAGCATTCCTGGAGAAACAACTGAGTGAGCCAGACATGAGGCAGTTGGGAAAGAGAAAAAGAAAGGAGCTTGACAGGAAGGCCCAGGCCTTGGAGCAGGAAGCAAAGCAGTATACTTTTGAGTTCTACTGCAGCATCAGGAGAGAGAACCGGGAGTTAGGGAAGAAATTACTGCAGCAAACTCAGCAATGCCAGGAGTTGCAGGCTATTAAAAGCCAGTTAAAAAATCAGAAGCAGCAGCTGCAGCAGGAACAGTGGTATGTGCAGTGCTTAATCCGGGGGAGGCAACGATTGCAAAGAAGGCATAATTGGTGCCCAAGACAGGATGCTCCAAAGGCCACCATAACACCTCCCCTGAGTAACAAACCAAGGATTAATCCAAAGCAATTCCTAAAATAACACTGCTTCAATAAGGACTGGAGTATTCTTATGTGCTGCATACACCTGGTTAGGAAGGCTTTGGGACCTCAGACTGCTATGATAAAACATCCATCATGATGTGTTAGTGTGAAAGATTAGGTGCGTTTTTCCAGCAGTATGCTAGACATTTGTGCCACCAGCTTCCCTTAATTAGGTTTTTCCTTAATTAGATCTTGTTAATAAACAGGATGTTCCTTAACTCTCCAGATAACCTAATACCATTTCCCAAACACCAGTACATTAAACTAGCTCAAGAAAAGCACCCTGAGGTAGTGAAAGGAAAACAGTTGTGTGATTTATTTCATCTAGCTAAGTTAGATTTCTAAGAATAGCATTTCAGATTGACTTTATATAGTGCCTTCTGCTCTGTAAACAACCAGTGATCCTCATGTCTCTTGGCCAGTTGCACACAAAGAAGGCAAAGTGCTTTTAAGCTCTTTTCCAGGTCTGCACCAGTGACCAGGCAGTTCCTGCTCTAGTTTTGTCAAGTGAAAGAGTAATCTAACTAAAAGGCATGTTCAGTAAGAGCTAGGCTGGAGGAGGGGGGTGGAGCACTGGGCAGAATGACCTTTTGTCTGACGCTCAGCCCCTACAATTTTAGCTTTGAGTAAATTGAGAAGGGAAGAGCAGATAAAGGGGATGTCTTTTAGTCAGCTCTTACTTTTGAAAATCTTGTCTGTGAAGAAATACCTCTAGCATTAATGAGGTCACTGCTTATTTCAGGAAAACATATGAAAAAAAGTTTTAAAATATTGGGACAACTTTAAAGAGTCTTGTGCCATCTATTTCCCTAACAACATTCTAAATTCTAAGACAACAAGTAAGATTAGTTAATGTTAGATATAGTAAGTACTTCAGTTTTAGGTCACTTATTACATTTTCTTCCTACTATGTGTGCACTTCCTACTATGTGTGTACATGAAATGCCTTTTGTAATCAATATGTGCCTTATATTTATGTTTATTTAGAAGAACTGGAAGTAATATTTTTAATTAGTATAGACTTTTAGGGTAGTTTTTAAAAAATTTTTTTGCACTTAATGACCTACTGATGGCTGGACTAGTTATTTGCATGCTCAATCCGAGTACAGGAATATAATCCCATATTTTAACATCACTCCTCTATGGGAAAATAAAATCAACTTTGTTTTCCAGAAATTGTTAGTGGTGAAAAACTTCAAAATAATTTTCCTGATTTTCAGTTTTATTCCTATGTAAAATGAATTCCTTTAAAATTGTGGAGTAAAAAATTTTTTCTCCCTCAATGCCTTCAACTTCTAGCTTTAACAATGTTTTTGTTAAATGTGTAGTTTGTTATTAAAAATAAAAACCTTAGATTATAATGTATCTGTTGACTTTTTTCCAGTGTATTTTCTACTCCACTCTTCTCCCTTACTATTGCTTCTGCATGTCTTATTCATATTAGTGTGCACATAATAAAACTGCAATTTTAATACAGAAAGTAGAATTTTAGATAGTATGCAGGTACCTTAACCTGAATACTTTGGTTCTTGAGCTGAAAATACAGAAGGACTGAACTTGAAAAACATGGTAACCAAGACAAATTTGAAGGCCTATTCTCTGTGGATGCAAAAATGCAAAAAAAAAAAGCATAGGAAAATACATACTAAGGCTGATGAGTTGGAAAGTAGGAGGGATTTAGAATCTTATTATTCTGCTGTGAATTTCCCTTCTACCTTTGCTATCCCAATTATCTAACTGGGGAGTAGGTAACTTCCGTCCCATACATTTATCTTTAATTCCTACCATCCCAGATAATGAATCTGGTGTATTGCATTATGTCTGTCCCTTTCAGAGTGAGGCCTCAAGGGCTTGAAGACTTTTGTGGGTGAATCATCTGATAAAGGTACTTTGAAACCCAAACCTGCAAGTGAGCAATAGGTTGGCCAACTAATATCTCAACCTACTTTTAGTCTGCTTTGCTATGAAGAAAATTAAACAGGGTGATGTTACAGAAAGTGCATTTAGATGGAAAAGACAACCAAGGTGAAATTTAGGTTAAGACCTAAATGATATAATGAAGCCTACCTTGCAAAAACCAGGAAAGAAGCCATTCTGGGCAATGGGAACAGTGAAGGTAAAGGTTCTAGGCTTAGTAGGTTCCAGGAACTAAAAGGTGAATGTAGCTAAAGTGTATTGGGAAATGGTCAGAGAACAGAGGTGGAGCAGAGGGACAGGAGGCTAAATGGGTTAACAGTGGGAGCAGAAGGCCTTATAGGACAAAGAGCACTGGGAAACCAGCAGGCTTTTAGCAGGTGAATGAGGTCTGATTTACAATTTTAAAAACTCAATACAGCTGTTACTGGCATGTATCCAAGCCAGTAAAAATCAGAAAGAAACAATCAAGAAAGTATTATGGTCTAGCCAAGAGAGGTGATGATGGTTCAGACTGGGGTGGCTGAAATAGAAGTAAATAGAAAGAAGAGAATACTAAAGGGTGAAGGGAAAATGAAAGGTTAAGAATGAAACACAAGTAAAATTTCTAAAGTGTTCCCTTTTAAGAAGATGAGCAGAATAATTGGTGAGAACTGATTTTTTAAAATGAAGTATTTCAGACACACAATACAGAAGACCAGAACAAACTCACTATCCACCTTAAGAAATAAGAACTTAAAAATTCACTTGTAGTCCCTCTGAATCCCAGAGGCACTGTCCTAAATTTGGTGTTTATCATTCCTGTGCATGTTTTCATGCCATATATACATATGTATATATGATATTAAACTATAAATGTACTAAATACAAATATATATATAACATAGCATAGAAATATTTTTTACATATCCATAAACAATATAGAGCATTGTTTTGCTTCTTTTTAAACCTTACATAAATGGCACACTTCACGTATACTGTAACTTGCTTTTCCCAGACATTATTTTTGAGATGTATTCATGACACAAGAAGCCCTAGTTAAT